TTTCTGATGCACATCATTTATTTTTCAGATCGGATTGAAAATGCCTGTCTGGCGGCCATTTTGTTTTAATGAATGGGCTTCTAGACCCATATCTCCGACTTGTTCTGACTGATAACATTTTCAAATTTTAAATATTCATTATACATCATGTCATAGATAAACAGATATATTGGTTTGACTATCCTATTCAAAATGGCCGAATGGTGGTCATTTTTGTGCTAAAAAATCATCAAATATCAAGCATTTATGGGTGGATTTCGTTCAAACTTGGTACATACATTAGACATTACGGGTTCCTGATGCTCGTCATTTTATTTTTCAGATTGGATTCAAAATGGCTGACTTGCGGCCATTGTCTTTTAATGATTGGGCTTCTAGAGTCATATCTCTTAAATGCTTTGACTTATTATATTTAAATTTTATATATTCGTTATACATCATGTTATATATAAACATGTATTTAAAATGGCTGATTTTGAATGCTGTTCCAGAGGAATATCTCTCAATATGGACAAGTACTTGTTTGACGATCAGATACAAATGTCAATCATTTTAATGTTAAAAATCATATTCCTGACATATATTCCAGCTATATTACTATAAACAAAACTATATATCTTAAATTTGATAACTAACGGGGACTGTGCCATACATGGCTTGTTAATATATTATTTACATTTAAAAAAAAAACTATGATGAAAGTTAAACTGAGTGTAGAAGAAGTATTTAACATTATTCAAGGTCATCAACATGTCATGCTGAGGCATATGTCTAGGCCAAATTCAAAGTAAAACAATGTCTTATGACCATGTGTCATGAGTTGACAGTCAAATTTAGGGTGTTTCGAAAGGGGTGGGGACTTAGTTGAACTTGACTCTGAAAATAGAGAGGCCTAAAAGTGTTGGGGGTGCTTGGCCAAGCATGGATGCTTGAGTCAGTTTTTAGTATTGTTTATTTAAGTTTCTCATCATTTACAGGATTCCAAATTTTATTTCATATTTTCTTTGAAGAACCACTGATGAAATTACTTGATTTGTTTTGTTAAATAAATGCCATTATGTCATGATATGACAAATTCAGAAAGAAACAAAAGAAGCATGTAATATAATAACATTAATTAATCAACTCTAATCATCCTTTTCTTTGCCAATCAACAGCATTTACCAGAGGTGTTTACTGGTATGCAGATTTATTTACCAAAAACTACTCCCAAGTTTGACAAGTTAAAACGCTACATTATTGCATTTGATGGTGATGTTGTCGCTGATTATGAAAAAGACACCGCTACCCATATTGCTGTTGATGACGTCAAAAAGGTAAAATATGTTTTATTGAAGGAGACTTTTCTTCAAAATGGCACCTGATGTCTCATTGACAGTGACAGAACAACATGGCTTGTTTTTGTCTTTTAAATCGTGTTCAATGACAGGTCAGTGATAAAGTAACTGGTCAGTGTGAAAGCGAAATGCTGTGGTTTGGAATAAAGATACTTTGTTATCTAGGTGTTGACAATTGACTACAGTCCAAGACATATGTTAATAGTTACATTTATACTGAAAAGTGATGACTATGGTTGACTTCAAAGGGTATAACATTACCATAGTAACTCATTGAAATCAGAGAATGACACTAAAACATGCAAGCATGTTTCACAAAATGTTAGCAAGAAATAATCCGAAAGTTCAAAGTGTATAATTAACATGTCATTTTCTTCCAGGCTTTAAATGGTAATAAATTCGTGACAACAAAGTGGTTATGGGAATGTATTAAAAATAAAAAGTTGGTGCCAAAGTAAGGTTACTGAAGTTGGATTCATTAATGAAATGATCATGGACTTCTTTGTTTATCAAGAAACTAAATCAAACATGAAAACGAGATTAAAATCTATCCGTCTTGTGTACTACACAGTAGTATAAAGTGGCAAAGATGTTCAGTTTGGTTTAGACAGGCTTCCAGTTTAAACAGGGTTTGGTTTAGACAGACTTCCAGTTTACACAGGGTTCCTGTTACACAGGTTTTAAAAGTATCTTTGTCAAATATTGTATTAATATAATATTTTTTCAATAATTTCAAGATTTTAATTTTAGTTTTGAATATTTTAATTGTTCAGAGATATCGATACTGATCTGATCTTGTTATTGTTTTTTTATTTTCTATTTTTTAAGATTTTTTTCTTTTTGTGTATATGTGTTTTCATAGTTTCTATAGCAAACTGTGATATAGTAAATGTTGCATTTTCATTTCATTAGTCGTTTGGTAATGACATTTACAAGGCCTTAGTACTTATGGCACAGAACTATGTTGGTCAATTTGCTTTTGCCAAGAACCTGAATATCTTTTGAAAATTGCTTAAGACAGGGAACATGAATATTAATCATTATGGAGTTTGAGTAATTTACAAGTAGGTCATTAACACTTAGTTGAATGTTTTTTTTTAATTAATCTGTCTTTTATGATCGTTTTTCTCTTCGGATTACAAACTACCGTTACTGTAAAATACTTTATTTTAGCTGGAATTAATTTTTGCTGAAAAGACTTTTGGGATGTTTTGTATGACATTTATTTTCAATGATTTCTAACGAGTTGAATGTAAAATATAGGAAAAAAAAGTATATTTGCTGGATTTTACTTTCACTGAATCATTCCTTCAGCGAAGATAGCAAAAATTAGTTGCAAGCAAAAATGAAGAATTTTACAATTTTAATTTGGAAATAGTGTATGTGATAATTTGCAGGTGTGGTATTCATCCAAACATTTGATGATTTAATTTGTTCATCTAGGGATCCTGAATATATTTTAGGAAAATTAAATTTTAATAAATTAATGGGCTAACTATCATGAATATTGTTTAAAATGAAATTAGAATAAATTACTTGGCCAGTGATCATGAATATATTCATTGCTAAAGTTACACACTGCATAATACATTTTTTTGTAATGTCAGATTTCATATATGTTTATAGAAGATGTTTGAATGCACATGAATGGATGGTACCTGGTAATGTTCAGAAATGTTGTTATACATGTGTACAGAGTGCATTTATAATTTCATCCAATGAATCACTGGGACACTTTTTCGAAAAACAAATACTGTATTTGCTCTATTAGTAACTCATACTGTTATGTAAATGTCAGAGCTTCATTATCAAATAATACATATTTGCATGAACTTCTAATAGAGAAAATACTGGTACTTTTATAGCAGATACCGTATACATGTCCCTAGACTTACATGCAGTCTCTTGTTTATTTTTTGGTGTTTTTTCAATAAAATAAAATATGTGAATGTATAAATGGCAAAAGCCAGGTTACCGCAAAAGCTGGTCTACCACGAAACAAACAAGAGTCTTGTAGACACACCTCTTGCGACACCGTCACTGGTTGTCACTGGTCACAGTGCGTAATAATACTGCATCAAGGTCGAAATAGGAATAAAAATTTCATAAACAATCATTTATTTAATAATTTAAGAAACCTAGCTGAAAATGAATTTTTTCACAATGATTGGCAAGATTGTTTAGGATAAAGTTAATTTACGGTACACAATAGATTCTGGTGCATCTCGGATCATCCTACAATATCATTTTTGACTATATGGCTAATTTACATATCAGTTTGCGCCTCGTGCACCACTGTGCTAATTCCTGGGTATTGGTGCATGCAACGATGGAGCTTGTTGCACTTTAGCCAAATCCTTGTGATCCATGAGCCACAACAGTGAGCCGGAAGAGAAAAAATTTATAAAATTACCTACCAGCATGTTCTTTATTTATTCACAGAGCCCTAGCAACACTTGCTGTGCAACTAAATATCATGCAAATTCTAGAGAGCTTATATCAGTAACACAGACGCAGCCATTTTGTACTGGATATACCTGCTCAAAATTGAACTGTTTAACCTCAGACTAGTAATATTACTAGTCTGAGGTTTAACGCATTGACATCTGATACAAGTGTGTTATTTAATGGGTAATCCCAATGTAAACTACAAACTAATAACAGTACCTATGCATATATTGTAACAACACATTCAATCATGAACCAGAAGATTTTTTTAGTTCAGGTTTGACTACCCTCAAGTGAAATCCAACAGCGAGTCAGAACACAGTCACTAGAGGTTCACTAAATTTCACATGAGCTAAAGGGTTGTGGATTACTTTTTAGACTATGGCAATAGGTATAGTGGTGCATTAGTCACACTAGTATTTTATATAAGACTTATTTCTTGGGTCTTTCAGTCAACTTCATAACATGAAGGGAATAGTGATTGGTCAGTTGAAGCCTACAAAATGGATGCCCTGATTAGTGATTGGTCAGTTGAAGCCTACAAAATGGATGCCCTGATTAGTGATTGGTCAGTTGAAGCCTACAAAATGGATGCCCTGATTAGTGATTGGTCAGTTGAAGCCTACAAAATGGATGCCCTGATGAAATTTATATGATGATTTTGTTTTTACTTGTATTAAAGCAGCTTGTGTAAAATCTGAAAATTAATAAGTGTATATTACTAAAATGTAATAAATAAATTGTTAGTTTTTTAATTAGTCCTATTGGATGAAGTCTAAAAACAAGGACTTGTAGATTGCGTGTGTATCCATTCATTCGTATCCAGCTATATCTCAGACGTTTGGGCTGATCAAGTTCAAACCTAATAACACATATATCGGACATTATGTGCAATTTTTTCATGATCCAATTCAAAATGGTCAAATGGCAGACATTATAAGGCCAAAATGCATCAAAATCACTCATTTTCACTATTCCAGAAGTTGTGTGTGGATGGATTCAGTTCAAACATGGTAAATGTAAATATATTGAACACAATGGAACCTTCATGCACATTATTTTTTTTTTCAAATTTAGTTCAAAATTCAAAATGGCTGACTGGTGGCCATTACATGCCTTGACCTACCAAGTACATTTGTAGTATATATATATATATATTCATCTAAAATAAAAACGAGGACTATGCCATTGATATTGTCTTGTATGTTGAAGTTTTATTTTTTCACTCAGAAGTTGTTCTCGGTGACCCATTATTGGTAGGGCAAAGTTAAATTCTACTTTGGCTTGACCACCCACTGTGCCGGGGTGAGTTGTGTGCCAAGGAGTTGATTAGTGTAAAATCTGAAAATTAATAAGTGTATATTACTAAAATGTAATAAATAAATTGTTAGTTTGGCATTTCATCTCGGTGGCAGTGTTTTCACCCGTAATAGGAATCACTATGCAATGGGCCAACTACAGTTTACACAGACATATAAATACTACAAATCCCATACAACACTGGTCTTCTTTGATCTGGGGGGTGGGGGGGGGGGTATATGTACGATTGTATTTTTATCTGAACCGCCGTATTGCACCGCCACGAGCCATCCAGATACTAGTAGTCTTGTTTGAGAGACATTCACGCTCATTAGAGGGGGGGCAAGGGGGTAGCGGGTACAGTTTTACGGGAAATAAAACTGGCTTTTTACAATTTACAAGACAAAAAAAGACGTTTTTACAGTTTACAGTGAAAATTGAATGTTTACAGTTTACAGAGAAAATAAAGGTTACTTTGCGGAAAATTAAAAAAGAAAACCTAGAAAATTCTTGTACGTCCCGAAAAAAATGACACATTTTTACAGTGTACGAAAAAAATATTTGATTGACTACGTTGTACGTCTAGCCTGTCACGGTGATTACAGAATTACGGAATTTATTTTTTTCAATTTACGTTGTACGAACAAAAATATATTGCAATTACGTTGAACGAAAATAACCATTGCCCCCTCTCATTACAATGTATATAATTCCACAAAAATATTTTGTCGTGACGTTGCGTTGACCTCGTAACAGCAAACGCCTTGTCTTTTGGTCTACTAGGAATTCGACGTCAGTTGCCAGATTTTGTACCGTGTTCACTGTTTAGTAATAAATAATCATTAGCTGATTAAATTAATATGGAAATATAAATAATTAAAACAAAGCCCGAAACACGTGTAAACTTTTAATACCGACTCAATTTGTACAAACTCCAAGTGCGGTTGACAAATGACGGGTCCAGAATGCTATTGTTCATTTTTACGAGAACAATCGTTCAGATAATGTAATGAAGGGTTCTTATAGAAATCCAGTACAAGTCACAAACAAATTCAATGGCAGTTGAATCTAATCAGTCAACGTCATTTTGAAAATGTTGCAATGTTATTTCATCGGCCAATTGAAACCTCTCGTTTCTCTTTGATTTCTGAAATTCAAAAATATTGATATAATTGTTGGTCTCAGTATTAATAGAATCGAATTTAAGAGTAAATACTGGTATATGAATGGAAATAATCGATTATTCGATTTTCAAATGTAAAATCTATGTATACAAGAAAAAACGCTTACATAAAACATGAAAGGTTTTGAAAAAAATCCTTTATTTACCAATAATTAGTGTGTATGGGTAGGGCGACTGTTTTCCAAGTCTGTGCCATGATTAACCATGTACATTTTATTTCATTCAACAATAACGTAATCGTAATTCTACGAAACGCTAAGTTATTCAAGTTACAGACATCGAGTTACGAGTCAGGAAAACGCTCAATTTTTTTAGAAACCACGCCCACTTCCTCGTCCAAATTGTAACTCGCTGTTACTGTTAACTGTTTAAAATTCAATTTAAAGTTCGAGTTACTGAATGATGTGGGCGTTTAACAAAAGCAAAAATATATGTTTCCCGTAACTCAAAGTTCTGTTAACTGTTAATTGAACATTAAGTTACAATTTGGACGTTGTTTCTCAAAAATGGATGTGGTTTTTAAAACATGGGCGTGGCATTTTTGTAACTCGATGTTGGTAACTCAATTCAGCATCTCCTATTCTACGACATAACATTCTGCTGGGACAGTTGTTATTCCCCAGGCGCTGCTCTACATATAGCCTCGGAATGTTATGACGATAATAAATCTTTATCATAATCTGATTAATTGCCGATACTATTTCAAACCCGTCGGCGTAAGAGCATGCCAAGACTGCCATGATGAAGAACCAATAAACAAGTTGTCAGACTATCGCCATGGTAATGAGTTGGAATGGATGATAATGGAGACAATGCTCAAAAACACGAACAAGAAAAGAAGAACAATAGAATCAGACAAAATAAGGAACATCATCGAGTAAATCACATCACAGATGCGAGGTACTAACAGGACTAGAACATCCAACAAATTGTACGATCAAACGACATCAAAATTGTAGGAAATGATGTCTGGATAATTCCTTTAGACAAATATTTTGGAATCTGTTATTAATAAAGACATCATCTCCTCGATATTGATGTTCTAGTCATTTTTGTTGCTCGAGATGAAGCTGAATCAGTCATACATGATTATGATTGAATTCTTCTTGATATTTTTTTTTTCTGCTTCAATAAATACAATATTTCTTTTTGGGAGGCGGAAGATGTTATTTAATTTCTATTTTATTTCTGACATGTCCTTTCACTTGCTGGCAACTGAGTAAGGGGTTCTGTTTTAATTCTCTGTGAATAGTTACCCAAACGAAACTTTAAAAATATCGTAGAACTAATATTACCATTGTTTTATTACCATGGGTAAAACAACTTTATATCACATCGTCCGCTCGCAATTTTCATATTCGTTCAGAAATTACTCACTCCATTTTAGCTTGGTTGTTTAACTTTTAACTCCAAGACACTTAGGCTTTTTTTGGTATGGATATAGTAAAATACTGTGCACACTTTTGTACGCAATGCATCATGGGAGATAACCTCCCATTTGAAATAATGGAAAACTATTATCACTCCCTAAATTATATGCTATTTATTTTTGATGTTTTCACAGTATTAGGAGTATATATCGGGACAGTTTGGACTCCGTCTTGTTTCCCGAAAAAACGTCAGGTGACCCTATCATTTTTTATTATTTTCAATATTTTGCATAAACACATAATAATGAAAATATTACGAACATATAATTTTTCATTCGAATAGAACCTTTTTAATTTTCACTTATTTTCTTGTCAGTTGGAATGTAAGCACCATAAGCTAATTTTACAAACAAGCTGCTCTCTGATTGGTCTAACTGTTAGGTGTAAGAGCTGGGTAGCCAATCAGACACAGTCTTGTAAGTAGCTTCGCATTGGCTCCAGATCGGTGGGCTGTACTATTTCATAGGTCAAGGACCTTCAACGCAGTTGTTCTCGGCTATCATGATACCCGAGAAAGATAGGATTAGAAAAGGTTAACATTAATTAGGCTACTAGTATATCAGAAATAAAGTTTATACAGTTTGAAAATACGATAACTGAACAGGTAATAAAAATGTGATTTTTTTAAAGTATACCAGAACCATTATTTTTGACATGGCCAGTAACTGTGTTAATATTTTTGCTTGTACCTTGCCCTCCTCTCCCCAAAATAATGGAGCATTCCTATAATTCTACAAAGTTACAAACTGGATAGATTATTTGACGCTGAAATTAATTAAGCTAACGAATCTAACTTTTATACGAAAGTAATATTCAAATCAATTTATTTTATTTTGTCTGGCATACGACACTCGTATATAATCTCTTCGTAAATCAAATTTCACATTTGATCTGCTTTGATTGTGACCCATTTCCGAACCCGATAGGTCGTGACCTGACTGTCTCGACTGTTTTTCGGAATACCTCCCGGAATAACTCGGAGCATTCCGTAATGGCTAAACCGGGACCAGTCGCGATGGAATATTAAAATTAATCATGTTTTAAATATATTTTTTTCGAAATTCGGGTGTTTTGTGATTGTCGTTAGGGGTAGACAATTTCTTTGTTTGTTCGGAATCGTTCGGAACGTATCGAATCGTCGAGCAAATACGTGCACGAGGTCACATGACCGCTTGCTTTGCACATGCTCAGTCTTCTGTTCGAGGCCCAGCTAAAGTTGGTAAGCTATGCTAGATTGTTCTCACTAAAAGTGCATTTTTTACGCAGTTACATGGTAGCTATTGATGTGATATCATCCTCAAAAATAGCATTTGGAGCAACTTAATTATTTGCGAACATTTTCTAAGGTGGGAATTTTTTAAGCTTGTGTAAATCTGTGCCCTTTCTTTGGCGTTTGCCGTCCGGCAATTTCGCTTGTCTGACGTGGTAGAGGTCATTCACACGTGCAGACTTCCTAATTTGTAAAACGTTGGCAGCGGGTAGTACAATTGTTTGTTGCCCGCTATTTTATATCGGTAGAAACTGTTAAAATGTTACCTCTCGGGCAACGTTGCTACTTGCTTCATAATGATTAATTGTAAACGATATAACGCAAAGGTCAGTCGTTCAACAACCGCTCTTTGTGACTCGAACTTACGACACAGTGTATGTCCTTGTACCAAGCTTAGTGGACTGTAGTTTGTGCTTTTCCGTTCAAAATAATAAAAATCTTGTTTTGGAATTTGAGAAGCATATTTAAGCCTACTTGTATAGGGACATGGCGAATCATGAAATTTTCATAAATAGTACTCTTGCCCCCCCCCCCCCCAATCTGCCTGTGAACATTCTGCTTGGCGACTGTACAATACACATGTAAGCTGCTTGTGCTATTATCCAGGGTAAAAAGTTGCATAAATTGACAGGAGATTAACCAATGCCAGAGCAGAAGCATCTTGTTGCTGAAAACTGTAAGCATCTCTGTAATTGGCTACTATGGGAGGGTGCATCATTTGCCTCCCTAATTCCTTGCTGAACACGGGGAGGGGGGGGGATGAGCACCCCAAAAAAGTTTTGGTTAATTTTTGACTGCTTGTGATGTGCAGTACTTGGCCCAGACACATGGTTGAAGTTTCAAGATCACATAAACATAGAGCTGGTGTGTAATTGAAGTGTTCCATAGAGAATATACACTGATCTTCTGAAAAATAGATTTAAGACAAGAACTACAAATGTTTTGACAATTTTCATGCACCCCAACCTCAAGAATAGATTAACCGAAAAATGTTGTGGCAATAGTTCTAGATTCCATAATCTATTCAGACATTCCTGAAGTTTTTTTTTTTAGCTTTGGGTAGATTTAAGTGAAAAGTGTGCTGCATGCTTGAGCTATAATTTTAGATTGCATACACATGTTACATGATCTTCAATATTGACCTTTTGATCTATGCTTAAAGGGGAACTGCTCAATCCCATGGATTGCACTAAAGAATCATGGGACACTATTGTTTATGTTTACAATGTTAATCTATCTTTTGTTATCCATTGTTATTTTAATCCAGAAAGTAAATTTGTTGTGAGATTAGGCTTAACTGGAAGGTGCCCCTTTAATATTGAGATAATTGAGTATTTTATTTCTAAAAATTTCTTTGATCTTTAGAAAATGTGAATGGTACAAATCCATGCTATTTAGTATCAATTAAATGAGACCTAGAATGCGAATTGAATTTATCCATTTTATATCTATTATAAATTGTAATGCAATTTTTAAGAATCATTTTCCCTTCACCTATACAAGTATTTGTAAGTACAGTGCAGTACTAGGTTTATTTAAGACATTTGCATAACAACAGTTGTTGACAATAGAAGATACAATAGACATTCTCGTAGTCTGGGATTTGGTTGTACATAGTGATAAATCTATTGTAATTTCAACTTAAGCACCTAGTTTCTTTTATTAATGGTCCTCCATATTATTCTACTTGTTAGTATGCAATGCATTCATTTCGCTTATTTGAACACTGTTCAAAAACAGAGACCTTGCGGATTGACCTCGATGCGCCATCTAATTATCTAGATGTGTTAGCTATATGAAGATGAAAGAAGGTTTGGGAAATTGTTGTCGAGAGTTGAATGGTGTTAAGATAACCTTGACTGTTAATTTTCACAAGAACTGAGTCAATTAAAATTAAGATTTGTTGGCCCCTATTTGGCTATTATTTGAGGGGGATAGATAAAACCAACAGTAGCTGGAATGTGAGTAGTTAGATGTCCTGCTGGTGACAAGCTGCAGTCACCCCATGTTTAACCTTGATAGCCAAACTAATTAATCTCTCTAGATTGACTGGATGCAACATCAATTTGATTTTTAATTGCTTATTTCTAAATTTGGACAACTAAAAATTGCCCCCCCCCCCTCCAAGCTCAGTGATCAGAACTTTAAATGGTCTATTCAAATCTATTTTTATGAGTGACCTTTACGTATATTCAGACTAGTTTGTGAAAGCCCTGTGAACCTTGGTATGTATAAACTGTTGCACTGTTGCTGACTAACTGTTGAAAGAGCATATTTTTCAAACAATATGTACTTATTTATGAATAATTAATTTTATGTGAAACAAGTCGTTTGATTTTATTAATATCACTTTGATTGTAACAGATTAAACATTGATAGTGGGTCGCCAAACACTGATTGTTCTCTGATTTACTATTGTACTGTAAAATACTTTGTATTCACTGTGTATTGACTTCAGCTCAGAATAAGGATTAATTATACATTGTAAATTCCATGTCTACCTAAATGGAAATAACTACTAGCTTAAAATGAGGCACAATTGTAACAACAAAGCAATATCAAAGTTTGTTGGCTTTTGTATTATTGACTTGCATTAATCTTTTGGGGGTTGGGGGATTAAAATAAAATACAACTACACTAGGAAACTGGTTTTCAACATGGAGATGTACAGTAAATATTTTGTTATCTATTTGAAGAAATGTTGAAATTCAGATTACCTATATAATACTAGTGGTCTGGGGTAATTGCCATTTCGGATACTAGTGGTTTAGGATAATTTCCTTTTTGGGAGGCCTATGAGCATATGTACAAATACAAGCTGCTGTCGGATGTATTTTTGTGGTACTCTGGGTCACTGTAAAGACTAGTAGCTAATATGGCTGCAATACAGGGATATAGCCCATTTGCTCTCGTTTGTAATATTAAAGAATTGTTTATAAATCATTTAAATTCCACAGTAAATTTTCAGTTATATTCTATGTTCTATGCGTAATGTAAAAACTAAAAAAAATATGGCTAGAATTGATGTAGCATTAAAACATGTGTTATTGTAATCCTGAAGTCCATCCATTAAACTATTTGCAGAATGATTGAATACTAATATGGAACACATGTTGTGATCAATATTTGATTTAGGACTTGCATAACTTGAATATTATTTGTTGTAACAGAAATGAAATGAAACTTTATTCCAATTTTAAAATTTTGGTCTGTTCATCCCATCTGTATTGGATGTATATAGGATTGAGTATTGGTTGGTTAACTCTACTGGTGTACGCTATAAACTTGATGTACACACAAATAATTAAATTCTACTTGTTTTACTTCCAGATATTGTAAAGACTACTTGTGGAAGAAACATATTTATCACTAATCATGTCTTCAGGCCCTAATATTGGAATCAATGGGTAAGTAATTCACTGGATCTTCAAAATACACAAATTGTATCTTTCTGAAACTTGGTTTTGTGAATATCCTGATGTTTACCGTATCCGTGATATTTGATGCTAAAGGTTAATTATGATATGCATGTGATAAGACCATGTTATCTAATTTTTTTCCCACAATTCTGAACTTTTCGGGTCATTTGTGAAGTGTAGGATACATAAATACTTGGCCAATGGAAGTGATTACATTGATAAGATAATGTATGATAAAGAATGCATAATGTATTATGCTAATTACTATCAAGAAATTGCAAAATGAGTGTACATTCAAATGAGTACATAGTCGGTCGTACCAGGTTTTATATCTCGCTGTCATTCCATGTAGTTTTAGCACATGAACGATGCTATAAATAAAATTTTTCATCTGATGTATAAACTTTTCCAAGGATGCAAATTGTGAAATGTTCGTGTAGTACATTTATATTTCATTGTTGGTTCAATCAAATTTTGTTGCAGATTTGGACGTATTGGACGTTTGGTGCTCAGAGCTGCACTTGATAAAGGACTTAAAGTTGTAGCCATTAACGATCCTTTCATTGAGCTAGATTATATGGTGAGTAAGTTTGCATATTAACTAGCTAATTTACATAATTAACTATTGTACCAATGAAGTGTGGCAACTGTTGTACTAAGGTTATGCTGCTTATTAGTTTGTCAGTCATAGGCTGAAATGTTTTAGTTTATGCGTTGTCTGACTTTATTTCTAGAATGTACCTCTGCATATTACACCCATGTTTTTTGTACACATTTCATTTTACAATTTAATTCTAAAGATGATTGCTCAGTCATCTTGAGTGGCTGTGCCCATTTCTGACCTTCTTTGTGTGCTGTACAATTACACTAAATTTACTTGGTCACATTTTACGTTCTCAAATTTGAATTCAGCCAAATGCAACACTATCATTGGCCCAAATGCAACCCTCGTTGGCCCAAATGCAACACTGACCATCATTGACCCTATTTTGTAGGTATACATGTTCAAGTATGACTCAACACATGGTAGATTTAATGGAGATGTCAAAACTGAGAATGGGAAACTTGTTGTAAATGGCAATCCCATTAGTGTTTACCAAGAGTAAGTACAATCAGTTTTTTTTTTTTTTTTTTTTTTATATATATATAACTATTCTGGAAATTCTGGCCTTCTGATTTCCACTATGCAAGAAAAATGTTTTTTTTTTTCTACTCCTTTGTCTGTTCATTATCTCAAGATCCACTAAACAGATTTCAATTAAACCTAAATGACCAAATTTTGGAGTCACTTAAAGGGGAACCGCTCAATCCCCGGATTGCATCACATGTTCATGGGTAATTAACTCCACCTCTACAACTAAGTAAATGAATGCTTATTATGCTGGCTTACTCAAACTGTGATTGACAGGCATTTTGCATAAATTAGCTGCCATTTTAAACTCTGGAATTTTACATGTCGCGACACGTTTCAACCAAAAACATTTATACATCAAAAAGCCAACCAAATGAGTGTACTTGCTGCGTACATATTCATGCCCTGTGGAAATGGGTTTGGAATCACAGCTTGATCTCAAAACATCGTAAATGGCACATTTCCTGGACCTCCTGCCATGATGTGAATGGCTTGGTTCGGATTAGCATATTAATTGCGGTGGCCATCTTGCCCTTATTTATATGATCGGTTCCCCTTTAACATTGTGGTAATTTGTACCAGTATGGTCACTGGTCCTAAAATTCTGACTAGTGGTGTCTTCCACCATACGTTTTCTTCACAAATGCCATTAAATCATATCGCTAACATTTTTACGGTTTACCACAATTTCAATATTTTTTTTCTGAAAGAATGAAACCAAGCAACATTAAGTGGGGTGACGAGAAAGCAGACTATGTTGTTGAATCTACTGGTGTATTTACAACCCTTGACAAGGCAAAGGCTCACGTAGATGCTGGTGCTAAGAAGGTCATTATTTCAGCGCCTTCTGCTGATGCTCCCATGTTTGTGATGGGAGTAAACCAGGACAAATACGAAAAGTCCATGTCTATTGTCAGGTAGGCTTCAACTACAGCCCCTTCTATTGCAGTTTTCCAGAAAATAGTTGGCAAGTTTTTTTTGACCCAGGATGTGTGGGGGGAATCAAAGACAATGCTAAATACAATTCAGGGAGCACACATAGGTGAAGGAGTGGAGCGATGCCATATCAGAAGGTTTCTGCACTAGATATCAATTTATTGTGACTGAATTCTGTTTCTATTTTAGCAATGCCTCGTGTACAACCAACTGTCTTGCACCTGTTGCCAAAGTAATCAATGATAACTTTGGAATTGTGGAGGGTTTAATGACTACTGTGCATGCTTACACAGCCACACAAAAAACAGTGGATGGACCTAGCGCCAAGGTATGATATCAAGGAGTTATAGAATAAGAGTATATGTGTGGTGTGATATTGGGATCTCGTGGACATATACAAAAGGCTTCAAAATTGCCCCACAAACATACATTTTTAGAAATGGAAAAACATCTTAGAAAGAACTAGTTAGTGTTGGTCCATTTTGCTAATGTCATACCTTATTCGCGAGGTGTGTATTAGAAGCACTTGCATGTGTACGAGTGATGCCAGCATATTTGATTTAACATCCTATTTGATTTGATGTGATGTGATGTTTGAATAGATTTGTTTGACTAAGCTGAAAACAATAGTCTTCTTTCGTTATGAATTTTTATATCAGAATTTTGTTAAATTCTATAACACTTTAAGGACAATTGTTTGCACTTTCTCTAGTATAACTAATTTTAAGCTTTTTTAGTTGAGCAAAATGCAGTACATGATTACAATGAATGTTTCTGGTTAAAATTTAATGTATTTTATAGAACTGGCGTGATGGACGTGGTGCTGCTCAGAATATTATTCCAGCATCAACCGGCGCTGCTAAAGCAGTGGGCAAAGTCATCCCAGACTTGAATGGGTAGGTAAACATAAACTAAGTTATCAAAACAAATTCAGTTTCTCAATTGACAAGTTGTCAAACTGTAACAACATTTTCTTGTATCCAGCAAGCTCACTGGTATGGCTTTCCGTGTACCAGTTCCTGATGTATCCGTTGTGGATTTGACTTGCCGACTTAAGAAGCCAGCAACATACGATGAAATCAAAGCTACCATTAAGGCTGCAGCTGAAAGTGGCCCAATGAAAGGATTTCTGGGATACACCGACGATCAGGTATGCAATCTCTCATTTAGTGTTGTGTGATGCACAACCTCAAGTCCCATCGTATCTTGAACAATGATGCCCATACAAGAACAAGAAATGCAAACATATTGCTTGTCCTGAACAATTTAATATCTATCATTTGTTTATTATTTATAGTATGCTTGCAAGACTATATTTTAGTGCTTTCTTTAGTCTCCATTCGGACAAAGTAAAACTACAATCCTGATGTCAACTTAACAGTTGTGTACATGGAACTTTCTCTCCTGACCTTCTAGTATTACTTCTGATAAAAGCAACACTCATTTCTGTGAATTTTCATTATAGGTGGTATCCCAAGACTTTTGTGGCGATAGACGCTCTAGTATATTTGACGCTGGTGCAGGAATTGCCCTTAATGATTCTTTTGTTAAGCTGGTTACATGGTAAGTCTGATTGCAAGGACAGTTACATAACATCTCAGCATTTCAAATTGTGATGTGCAGTGATTCTGTTAAAAAAAAATTGCAACTTATAGCAAGTTTTAGTTTTCTATTAGGTTGATCTAAGCCCCTGTACTTTGAATTTTTCTTCAGTTTAGACACAGAAATGCATGTATAGTTCCAGATAAGACTTTGATTCAGACTCAGCTTGGTGTATATATTTTTTTTCAGGTATGATAATGAAGTTGGTTACAGTCATCGTGTTGTTGATCTGATTAAGCACATGTATGCAGTAGACAACTAGAAGATGTGCAGTGTTTTAAATGTGTGAATCTCAAGTATATGTCAATATCATGGGCTGTTGTTTTTTTAGTTCCGTAGCAATAAATCGCCATTACCAAAATTAAAATGTTTGTATTAATACATTACTTAACTTTTTCAAATATCAAGGGCTAGAAATGTCAATTATTTCTGTAATTTACACGATGGTTGGCTAACAGGTTCATCCAATAATTTATTTTTGTTGAATAGAAATAGTTGTATATTTGAGATAGTTAAATTGTGTATTAGGTTAAAAATCGAAATATCTGAAGTGCTGACTGAATTAAAACATGTGAAATCTGTAGTTGTTACTGCATTGAAAATAGTTAAATTCTACTGTATAATTTCTGTCAACTGTAGTGTGTGATGCAATAAACCTGCTTGGGCTAAAAACCTACCTACTCTATCTTGTTTGCACAAGCTGCTTGTTTCCCCTTTTGATGCCATGTGCGGAGTTGCCAAATTTGTCAAGCTCTTGTGCTGCCCCACTGGTTACTGATTGTTCGTATCTATCCATCCTCCAGATGCCTAGTGGCACATAGGGCCTCCACCGCCGAATGTCTCAATTCTGTCTTATCAGCTGCTGCAACTCTGGCTTCCGCCCATGACTTCCATCCAGCCTTGATTCTTTCCTTAATGCGTCGCCATTGTTCGTATAGGATTGGAAATTTGTTCGATTTAGCACAAGAATTCAAAGCTGTTGCCTGTTCCAGTGTTCATATTCTGATAACCAAGTCCCATTTATAAAGCACTGCTACCAGTCTTGTGTAGATTTTAATTACTTTTCTGACTGCGCCTGAAGTACTGTTGTGCATCATCTACACAGTTGCTTTACACATTGAAGTTGAGTCCTGGATACCAGTAATGTAATCTAAATTTCTTGTACGTTTGGCAAGAAGAATCCTAGTTTCTGCCACCATTCTACAATTGAAACTAGAACTGTATTCACCTAAATTTGATACTATGGACAGAATGCATTAATCTTTTACATATGGACTTTGAAGCACTCTTCGTAGTCTCGTCAATGTGCATTTCGGCCTGTCACTAATTGAAACAGTGACTCCCCCCCCCCCCCAATTATGTTTAAGTAGGAGAAAGTTGTTGTTCAAACCATGATCGTCATGCTGCACTATTGTGCAGTAATTATCTAAGTGAATATACCCACCAACTTTGCCTTGGATTTCATGCTGGGCTTTCAAACTGATATCGTTTGATGAGGCATCTAAGTTAAAATCTGCCTCAATTTTAAGACTTTAGCTCGGCTGATGACTTTGTTGAATGGAGCTTATGATTGATGTCCGCATCAAGTCTGATGGCTATACTTGATCTAAAATACTTTTCTCAGATTTGTTCATTTAATATCTTTAATTCTCTAATTGAAATGTGTATTGCTATTAGCGGAACTCTCAGTCTAGAGCCTGCTTGTTTTTTATCTTTTCTATATCAGATAAAGGTTAGAATGTTCTCAGTAGCAGGTGTGACGTCACACCACCTCAAACATGTCTACTCCATTGCCATAGGATTTCCTGAACCGTCTGCTCGAACTGATGAACAGATGTGATAAGACCCCACCCCAGACCGTCTGTCATTTGTTGGCCTGCTGTCCGATAGTTATTGAACAAAGGGTGGGGCACATTTAATGGACAAACAAGCACAAGATATCTACAAAATGTAAAACAAGCTCAAAAATTTGTTTAGCTTTAAATAGCAATTGTAATACCTTCATTTCACAACAGAAACGTGGTGTGGCCACTGCTTCTCAACACCCTCACACTGGAAATCTTAAAAGGTGATGGTCATTGTGCTGCACATGTGTGATATTTGTGTTGATAAACGTTGATTTCCCCACAATCCAATGCGTTATTCTAAAGGAAATCACAAGTATGAGGTTTGACCTGGGCACGGCGTTGATCTGCGCAACAGTCAAAGTCGCCGTCTTTGTTAGTCCCCGTTCGGACACTGTCCGAAAACTGGGACTTGTGTTTTGACCTCTGTGTGTCTGTATATGCATGCGGACATGTATCATAGAAATGCCTGGACCAATCACAATCAAACTTCACACATACATCATACATGATAGTATACATATGCACGTCAATTTGTTTCACGATCTGATTCAAGATGGCCGAATGGTGGCCATTTTTGTGCTAGAAAATCATCAAAATCAACCATTTCTCGGCCGTTTACAAATGGATTTTGTTCAAACTTGGTATATACATTAGACATTATGGGACCTTGATGCAAATAATTTTGTTTTTCAAATAAGATTCAAAATGGCCAACTGGTGGCCATTTTGTTTTAATGAATGTGATTCCCGTGCCATATCTCTGACTTGCTTTCACTGATTATGTTCAAATTTTAAATATTCATTATACATCATGTCATAGACAGATATATTGGTTTGACGATTCTATTCAAAATGGCCAAATGGTGGTCATTTTTGTGCTAAAAAATCATCAAATATCAAGCATTTATGGATGGATTTCGTTCAAACTTGGTACATATGTTAGACATTACAGGTTCCTGATGCACATCATTTATTTTTCAGATCGGATTCAAAATGGCTGTCTGGCAGCCATTTTGTTTTAATGATTGGGCTTCTAGAGCCATATCTCTTGAATGCTTTGACTGATTATATTCAAATTTTATATATTCGTTATACATCATGGTATATATATATACATGTATTCAAAATGGCTGATTTTGAATGCTATTCCAGAGCAATATCTCTCAATATTTGACTATCAGATACAAATGTCAATTTTAATGTTAAAAAATCATATTCCTGACATGGTTATATTCCAGCTATATTACTATAAACAAAACTATACATCTTAAATTTGATAACTAACGGGGACTGTGCCATGCATGTATTGTTTATATGAGAACCATATATCTCGCGCATATGTGGTGCGATGACTCTCTTCCTTTAATGTACATGGCTTGGCTTTATTTCAACTCAAATGCAAGCTCCTCATGGGAATACATACCATGTCTTGTTATGTCTTGCACTCTCAGATTCAGGGCACAACCAGGATCACCACAACTACTTTGCCCAACCATACTTCGAATGAGATATCAATCAACTAGGGGCAATCACAATGTACATGGACCCCTTTGGCATTAGTGACAGACTCCTGTGGTCATCAATGGCACACCACCTATGACACGGCCCTGTTCTGGCAGAGTTGTGAGTACACCTCTCTTAATTATCTGTACTAGTGGACCACTTTCTTTGCTCACAATTCAAAATCATCTCCGAGGATGATGTAGTTCAGTACATTGTTGGGGGAAGGAGGAAGTGAGGCAATCTGGAACAATCTCATGCCCTAAACTCGTTGCCTCAAGAAAGCATAATGCAAACAGCACCAGGCTGCACTACTCGCCAATTAACCAAGGATGTCAGTGTTCACTTTGGTTATTGAAAGGAGAAAAAGTCCACACCCATAGAGGCTCCAAACATTATGTTGTTCAGCTCACCATGAAATGACAATTACATTGTATTCATTCAGTACCACATACTTCACATGACATTAGAGCCCACAGACAAAAATATATCTATATTATTCATTTATCCAGTATTTATTTGTTTGGAGATGCAAAACACACTCGCACCACAGGGAGCCCAGGAACTATAATCAACTGTAGTATGCAGTCTCTATGAGCGGGGGGTTGGGGGGGGGGTGGTAGTATCGGCTGGTATCTAGTGTAAGAAATAGACAAGGGATGAAGGCTCCAGCCAGCTCACATTTTTTAAACTCGAAAAAACAGACGAAAAGAATGAAAAATAAAATCTAAAAAAAATACCAGGTTGAAGAATATTAGTTGCTCCTTCAAATTTCGCCAAAGCCTTGCCTACATTTTACCGATATCTGCAGAATAAATCAAAAAAACTACACAAATTGACTCCATTTAGGAATTCCTAACGGTTTGCCCGAACACACGGCACAGTTGAAGGCGTGGCCTGTTCAGCATTTGTCAACAACCAATCACAAATGCTTATACAGTTCACTAAATGCATACACACAAAGAAAAAAGTGGATTTACTAGGAGTTAACCAGAGTATTAGTTCGCTCATAAGATTAGACTGCATAGTTGTTAGTAAAGCTCTGAGCACCCCCCCCCCCCCTCACCCGGGCTAAAGAATTTTACCTGAAACTATTCAATCGATAATAGCCAGAATAATCACATAAATGCAGCATTTAAAATATCCTTTAGGCAAAATTGTGTGCTTACAAGTTCCTTTATTGTATTACTGCTTATTAATCTGCATACACACAAAAAGAAAAGTGGATTACTAAGTTAACTAACGGGTAGGAGGACGCCTTCTGAAATTTACTGTATTGTTTTATTTAGCAGGTCAAACAACCAAAAACAATTCTGTTTAATCAGTGAGAGTGCCAGTAACCTGGTTGTTATCTATGTTATTTGGCGAGTTTCACTAGTTTCTGAGTTGATGAGGAGATTTATTTCTCAGTTATTGAAACTATTTATTTTAAAGATTGTTGGTGATATTTTACTCAAATCGGTCGTTGGTGGCGCTGTTCTGAGTCAAGTGGTTCAAATATAAACTTAAAAGAACGTGCATTGAATAATTGCTTGATTGTAAGCAACTCCCATATGTAATTTTATCAGTGGTCAATGAAATTAAAATCGGTTGACCTTGATCCCACAATTTTTTTTTTGTAAAAAAATCTTCGCATCATGAAGTATATATAAATAATTAAGTTGCTTCATAGGTAGTATATATTATATTGTGATTACATCCATGTTGGTTCAAGTTGATTCTGGATTTGTAAAAGTATCTGCATATCTCAAAGAGTTGACGGTATTATAAGGCAAATGGATACTTGTAGGGTTATCATCGTAGGTTTACAACAATCAACTACAAACAAGGACAGCACAATGACGGATAATTGGCGGAATCGTATTTTGCTTTAATATTTCTGTTTCCACATGTTGTTAGAAGTTAGATAATGCTTCAATTTTACTAACCTGATTCAGTGTAAACAAAATATTACATTGAACTAGGAATAGATGACAACTCGTATTTATTTATTTATTTATTTATTTATTTATTTATTTATTTATTTATTTATTTATTTATTTATTTATTTATTTATTTATTTATTTGTTTATTTGTTTGTTTGTTTATTTGTTTATTTGTTTGTTTGATTAATTATTTGTTTGTTTGTTTGATTATTTATTTGGTTGTTTCTTTGATTAATTATTTGTTTGTTTGTTTGTTTGATTATTTATTTATTTGTTTGTTTGTTTGATTAATTATTTGTTTAATTAATTATTTATTTAATTTCTTTGTCTCATGGCGAACATTTCATTCTCTTCTTTCTTCGGGGGAGGGGTATTTAACAGTGTTTAGGTGGAAGACAATATACCATAA